CGTGCTGGTCTTCACTACACCACATAAGCCCTGGCAGTTACTTGTGTTGGGCTTGGCAATCCGATCCACTGCAATGTAACTGTTGGCCCTGCGTTGGGGACATATTATAAATACCCTCTTTCACTAGAGGGTCATGTATTTCATTCATTACACCTTCACTCTGTACTTTCTCTCTCTAGTTCCGTTACTCGCTTAAGTATCGGAGCATCTTGCAGGTACACCCCCTTTTCTCCTCCATAACACCGGTGAAGGCAACAACTCACGACGCGTGGCAGGCTACTGACTCCTTTCTAATCAGGTACGATCACAAATAATAAGAAAATCTTTAGGAGTCGGCTTTGACGCAATTTTATCGTAGTATGCTTTCAAAATAAACCCTGCTTCAATTAGGTCTTTTAAGGGTTGTATCGTGGTCTGGTTCATGAATTCAGAAAAAAGGATTTATGGCTCAAAATTTTATTTTAACCCACCCTATTCTCCTTGATGTTCTCCAGTCCTATGTTCACCTAGCTAGACACAAGCGTTCCTTTTTCAAAAGGATTTTGAAATGTTGAAGTGATGGTAGAGGAACCAATGAGATTTTTGGAGTGGCAGTCACTCACCTTTTGTTTTTGTTTGTTTGTTATCACGCAAAATTATCCTTGCTAAAGATTCTCTTCCTTTTTTTGTTTTCCCTAACTTTTGTGTAGACTAATTTTTGAGATATTGCAATCTACTGGGATGCCCCAAAACCACAAGCATTATTAATTTATGAAAGAGAATTACTTGCTATTGTTTATGTTGTGCATAAATAGAGTTGTTACTTGGCTCATGCCCCCTTTGTTATCAAGATTGATCAAAGGAGCATAAAACATATTCTTGAGCGGCAATTACACATTCCCTTCCAACAAGTGTGGGTTTCAAAGCTACTTGGATTTGATTTTGAGATTCAATATAAGGAAACAACGACAAATATCACAACTGATGCTTTATCTAGAAATGTGGGGGCTAAACTGCTACCATTGATGCTAAATTCTACTCAATTGGATTTGTTGGAATGGATAAAAAAAAGTATTGGGAAAATGATAATCAGGTGCAACACATCATTTTTGAATTGATTAAATATCCTACTCCAATTCCTAAATATTCTTGGGTGAGGGGCGAACTTAAAAGACGAGGCAAGTTGCTCATTAGTAGTGATCCAACTTTAAAGGAAGAAACTCTGCAGTGGTTACACAATTCGGTTTTAGAAGGTCACTCTGGCAGGGATATTACATCATCTAGGATCATAACCTTGTTCTAATGGAAATAAATGAACAAGGATATTCAAACATATGTGATAAATTGTGGCACCTGCCAGCAAACTAAGCCTGATTTGGCTGCTTATCCAGGCCTTCTCTAGCCCTTGCCGATACCGCAGAAAATCTGGGTTAATATTAGCCTTAATTTTATTAAAGTTTTACCCTCTTCCAAGGGTAAACAAGTCATCTTGGTAGTCGTTGACCGCCTGAGCAAATATGCATACTTTCCACCACTACCTCATTCCTACACAGCTACGGATGTAGCTCAGGTTTTCCTAGATAATGTGTTTAAACTGCATGGTATGCCTTAAAGCATCACAAGTGATAGAGATCCTATCTTTGTCAACACTTTTTGGAATGAAAATTTCAAACTACAAGGGGTTGCATTAAATAAATCCACGACCTACCATCCTCAATCAGATGGCCAAACTAAGATTGTCAATAAATATTTGGAAACATACTTAAGATGCATGTGTTCGGGTACACCTTCCCAATGGATCAAATGACTTTCTCTCACTGAATGATGGTGTAACACTAACTTCCATTCCTCTTTTCACACTACTCCATTTGAAGTGGTCTATGTCCAACCACCTCCGCTGCATTTGCCATATCTTCTTGGTGAATCACAGTCAACTACTGTTAACAAGTTTTTAGCTGCAAGAGAGAAGCCATTAAGCTTATGAAATTTCACCTACTTAGGGCACAAAACAAAATGCAACAACAGGCAAACAAATGTAGATCGAATATGCAATTTCATGTTGGTGATCATGTCTATATGAAACTCCAACAACACAAGCAACAGACACTGCGAGACTCCACTTTCCACAATCTGTCACCCAAGTTTTATGAATCGTTTCGAGTATTGGTTATTATTAGCAAATTTTCTCATTCCTTTGACTTACTTCCTATGGTTATTATTCACCTTCTATTTCATGTTTCTCAATTGAAACTGTGCCCAAATCCTAATGCAGTGCCTATCCAACACGTCCACGTTGGTGATCAACTCAATGACAAAGTCCCCGAGACAATTCTTGATAGGAAGATGGTGAAAAAGGGCCATGTTGCAACTAACTAAATGTCGATCCAATGAAAGGATCTTCCAAGTGAATAGGCTACTTGGGAATTCTACTGTGACAATAATATTAGGATAATGTTGTTGTAAATAAGTTGTTATTTAAATTTATTGTAATTCCTTTGTAGTCACCTATTTCCTTATTCTAGATGGTGAGGTGGCATTCTCTATCATAAGATTCTTATCATTTTGTCATAGTACAAACAAATGTCTTTTTATAGCCTTTTATGGCATAATGAATAACAATCAATTTACAATCAAAATCCCATTCTTTCTATCAAATTCTCTATTATTTATTTCATTCAATTTCAACGAACTGCATTCTAAAGTTTTTGTGGTTCCTGAATTATTTGTAGGTTATTATCAGCTTCATCCCTAATAATTCAAATATACCCCTTTTTACACAACAAATCATTATACTAATTTAACATTTACTCATCATCAACAAAATTTTCTCATCAACAACAATATTTATTCTTCAATAACTCATAACTCATCAATGACAAAATCTCAACACATATCAGGTCAATTAATAACATCCATATCAACAGAAAACACTATGGAATCAATCATAACATTTTATCACATCAAACATCACAAATTCAACATTCATATAATCATTTTAGCATAAATACTTCAACATATTTTATCAATTAATCATTTATACTCATGAACGTCAAAACTCAGAAATAAGCATACAAATTTACATGAAAATCAACAAGCAACAGAACACGAAAATCAACAAGTAACAGAACACGAAAATCATATCATATCACAATGCCTTAGAGAGGTTTTGCACAAACCTTCTCAAGATAAAAAAACCCTCATCAATGGAGAAGAAAAGAAAAGAAAAAAGAAAGAGGATAAAGAATTCCTTCATGCCTAAACATCCATAGCATGAATAGTTCACCCCTTACCTCGAATTCGCAGAAAGGTTGAAGCTACGACAATGAAGTTCTCCTTCTCCGTCAAAAGCTCCCATATGATTATCTTTTTTTCTCCTTAGTCTTTTCTCTCAAAATTCTACGTATTGACAACTCTCTCCCTTCCTTTCTCTTTTTAAAATAAAAACCTTATTTTTATTTATATTTTAATTAATTCTAGAACTTCCATAAACTCTTACTAATTCCATTCACCTCCCTATTTTATTAAAAAAAAAATAGTTTTCTCTCCAAATCTCAATTTCTCTTATTTTCTAATTAATTAAATTATTAAAAATATAATTAAATTATAATTTTAATATTGAATTATTTTTACTCAATTCTACATTAATTTAAATATAATAAAACTCTATCCAAAATTCAATAACTTAAATAGAATAATTAAATAAGTAAAAAACACCCCAAAACTCAATTAAAAATAAAATAATCAAAAACCAAGATATTACACCGACTAATCACCAAATTAACCACCTCATAAATAGTCAACTTGTCAAAATTTTGTTAAAAAATAGTAATAGTTTGAACCATATCTCTATAAAACATGATATTATTCCAACACATTCATTCATATGATAAAAATTATTTAATACCACAATAACTCTTAAACTAAAACAAGACTCAACAAACCTCCTTTAAACCACTTGAAGGAATCATTCAAGTCCCAAACAAACTTTTTTTTTATTTTTATTATCTTAAATGATGAACTAGGTTTCTAACTTAGTACAAATTAGAGGGATGGAAATAAAAAAGAAAAGAAAAATTTGGCAAGAACTCAATTTTAAAAAAAGTTTTTCTTTTTCGAGAGCATCTTTAGTTGGAGTAAATTAAATGAGTAAACTAAGATATTTTTTGTGGGTCCGTGATTTGTAGGATTTAAAAAATTTATAGTTGATTTGAGTAGTTTTTACTTTAATGGTGGTTGTTTATAAGAAACCAAAACTTGATTCCACATTTTATATTTTTTATTCAAGTTAACATTAATTTAATTATTTTAATTAAAATACATATAATTTTTTAAATAAAATTTATCTTAAAAACTTAAAAATAATATTAAATATATTTTATTATAAAATTAAAAATATACAAAATTCACAACAATAATACATAAAAAAATACATTTTCATAGGAATATAATTATAATAAGGATTCGATTGGTTGATATTCATTTGATAAATAAATAAGATTAGAAATTGAAAGAAAAAAATTTAGAAGTAAAACTGTGTGTAAAAAAAATTAAAATTTCTATAAAATTTATAGAAGGTAAAAAATGATAATAGGACCGTTACTATTTCAAATATCATATCCTTACTTTAATGTTGTTGGAATATTTGGAATATTTTATTAATATTAAATAATATTATAATAGGTTTCACATAGTTAACGTTACCTATATAGATAATGCGAACTAAATTTTAGTTCATTTGAATGATATGTCAGCTCTCCTATAATGCAAATTTCTTATTACTAACGTAAGGTATAAAGAATTTTGGTTTAACAACCCTGCGTTAAAATTGCTCTGAATAAAGTAGAAGAAAAAAAAGGATATAAATTAAAAGTTAAAAAATAAAGTTTTGTATTTTGTGTGGTTGAGATCGTGAGAACATTTGAACACGTTGTTATGCTCCGAAACAAAAACCTCAAAACTCCCCTATCTCTCTCTTCTTCGTCTCCACAGTCAGGATTCGTCAAACCCTCCATCCGTCAAAGATGGATTACCACAACAAGCTCATTCTCGCTCCCATGGTTCGCGTTGTGAGTTCTATTTTCCTTCTCATCTCTTCAACCACACAATTCAACTCACCATTCTGTATTTTTATCTTTAAGATTCAATTTTTTTTTGCTTTGTTAGGGCACTCTCCCACTAAGATTACTAGCTGCTGAATATGGCGCAGATATCACTTACGGTGAGGAAATCATTGACCACAAAATTCTCAAATGCGACCGCAGAATTAACGGTACAAAATCTCTCTTTTCCTTTGTTTGTTTCAGCTTTTAGAGAATCATGATACAAAGAAAGTTCTAAAGCTCAAGAATAATCTAGAATTGTAATTTTGTTTAACTACATAAACCTTACATGATACAAGTTTTAAAATTTTGAAAGACTGTGGTTAAAATTAGTTAATTACTGTGTTAATGTAGGTAGTTTTTTTGGGAACATGCTAACGACTAGGGTTGTTCTAGTTATGGGGTTATTAAGACGGACTGATTCCCGTGTTTTTGGTTTTGAAAGCATTTTCTGTTTTTAGTTTTAACTACTTAGGTGGGTTGAGCCGGTGGAGAGAAGACATATAGATTATGTGGTATGGAGAGTAGATCGGATGGAGAGAAGTCAAACAGCTAGAGGTAGAGGAAGACTTTGAAAAACTATAAGTGAAGTTATTAAGAAAAATCTCGAGATTAACGATTTGGATTGAAGTGTTAGAAGTAGGAGAAAAGTGAAAGAAGGAAAAAGAGAGTGAAAATTGATATTATGATTTCTTAAATGAGAAACGGTTACAGCCTTCCTTATATAGAGGTAAAGCACTTAGTTACATTCAACTGAGTTCAGTTAGGTATAACTGAATTCTGTTAGGAGGTTAGTGGGCGAGAGTCCAACTCTCTTTTACTAGATAAGCCCAATGCTAGCTATATTCTAATAAGAAACATGGTCCTGGATAGAACATTATGGTGGAAGTCGATCCATGTAGCCAACCCCACTTAGTGGGATAAAACTTGGCTGTTGTAGTTTTAAATGTCGCAGCGTTTTCACTTTGTTTTATGTTTTCAAAGTTTTGAATTAGAAACAATGGAAACAACTTTTTATTGTTTTTTATTACTTCTTGTACAAAACATTGAGAATAGGAAACAAAGTGAAAATAAAGTAGTATTTTTGTAGTTTAAGCTGAATGCCGAAATTGGAAACAGAGTGTTTTTGTAAATTGAAAGTCCCTTAGCTTCTTCGATTCACTTTTTGTCCGTTAAGAGAGAAAGTCGAGCATGAGTAAAGGTAGATTTGGAACAAGGAGTAGAATGATTGAATTTCACATAGGAGGGAAGAACGGTTGTGACAAAGAAGCCACCCTTGATCGCCATTGACAAATGAATAACTTAATGCAAGAGAAGAGAGAGGAGTGTAGGGACTGACAGAGGAGACATTAAAAAAAAGCCAATAATAGAAAGAAAATTTGGGAGAGACAAAGAATAGCATAAATTTGTGAATGGACAATAAAAGAAAAAGATGTCATAATTTGACAAGTCAAGGAGGGTGCTATTGCTTTGATACCATATTAAAGTTATAGGGTTTTAGTTAAGTCTTTAAGATAAGGAAAGAGGAATAAAAGACTTGATTATTTTTGATATATGATGATACAAAAATAAAAGCTCAAACCCTTATACATGCTAAGACTAAACTCCATATTCAAATCAAATAGATAAACAGATCCTGATAATTACTGAGAAAGTTGAAACAAATTATGAGAGGTAATTTAAGATATTCTATAATGAGAAAGTAATCTCAAAGACACTACGATAATATCAAGAAATTACAAGATAACTTCCAATTTTCCAAAAATTACAGTTGGTGATTTAGTAAATGCAAGTGAAGCTTCTGTTGTTTGCGTCTGCATAAAATATTTGTTTTTATAGAAAAAGAAAAGTTAGGACTTCAAATCCAGTCATTGTTGCAAATAGGTGTTTTCAGAAAGTACAAATAAACAACTAGGAATTATTGAAAAAGAAAAACTTAATGAAGGTAGCCCGGTGTTTATACAGTTTATCACCGCTAGATACACTAACATATAGAAGGATAGGAGGTCCAACATTTCTTTTTCTTTATGTCCTCTGCTTACAACTAATATCTTGATAGATCCAATATCAAAATATCATGTTTTAGTTTCTCTGTTTCTATTTTTTGTTTATATAGTAGGATAACTGACCGTCTAATGTTTTATTCCTCTTTGATATCTCAGCGAGAGTACTTATTAGCATGATGAAAAGAAACCATGTTGACTCTTGATATTAAAAGTCAAATGTTTTATTTATTTAGTTATTTATATAGCGGCTTGACATCATGTGCTAAGGGATTGGGCAGAAACTTTGGAGATATCGAATCAGAGTTATATGCCTGTAGTTTCCCCCCACTCCTGCTTAGTTTTTGATTTTAACACTACATTATATTACTGTTCAGAACTCATTGGATCCACTGATTTTGTGGAGAAAGGGACGGAAAGTGTTGTGTTTAGAACCTGTGATCAAGAAAAAGATAGAGTTGTGTTTCAAATAGGCACATCTGATGCTGTAAGGGCCCTAACTGCTGCTCAGTTAGTGTAAGTTAATTGTATATTTATTTTTCTTCTTTGATTTAATTGTATATTTAGTTTTCTTCTTTGATATATTTTTTGTATTTATGCTTTAAAGGGGAATAATGACTTGCTATTGGTAAAGTACAATTTTTTACATGTTTAGTTGTCTTCTGGGATTAATCATGCCCTAAGGATAAGTGCATTGATCAAATGGCAGCAAATAGTTCTTGGGAGTATGTAATTCAGAGCGTTTTACCCAACCCTTTTCCTTGAGGACAATGAAGGAGAGTATTGATAGGTACCTCATGGTCATTTAGTTTGATACTTTGGGTGGGGAAGTAATACGTTCAGACACGTTTCTGAGGGTTTTAGGGAAAAGAAGGTTGCAGGCCCTTGAAGTTCTGCAGCATAATAATTTAGGGGGTTTTCTCTACTCTTTGCAACAAGATGCTCAGTTCTTATCATGTTTTCAGACACACACATGATTGATTCAATTGACTTTTCTAACACTAAGCTAGCAAATAGCAATTTAGTACAAATGTGTTTGCTGTTTTCTCCGAGTTCCTTAGTAATGAAGATCTAATTGTTTTCTTTATGTTGATTTTTTCCTATGTTACTTTATCTTTATTGACATTGCAGATGTAATGATGTTGCTGCAATAGATATTAACATGGGATGCCCCAAGCCATTTTCTTTAAGTGGTGGGATGGGTGCTGCTCTGTTGTCCAAACCAGAGCTTATTAGTGATGTAAGTCTAATAATTTATCATTGTTTTGATTGTTAAGAAAGAGGGAAATTTCGGGAGAGGAGAGGGGAGAGAGAGGGAAGTAATACATTCACTTTCATACTGTTTTGTTCTCAGGTTCTTATCATATTGTAAATTTGCAACATGTTTAAATCCTTCCTCTTTAAAAATCCAGATCTTAACAACATTACGGAGGAATTTGACCCTACCAGTAACATGTAAAATCCGACTTCTAAAATCACCGCATGATACGGTGGAGCTAGCCAGGCGAATTGAGAAAACTGGTGTTCATGCTCTTGCAGTCCATGGAAGGTAATCTCCAAATATTATTTCTTTTTTCCTGTACCTTTCCAAATTAAGGGGGAGCAACCAGCAACCATATGGTTGTTTTAACTTTGTAAGGGCTTATTTTCAAATCACTTAACAAACCAATGGACAAGCATCATTCTGCTAGTCGGTTTACCTAAATCAATGTTTTAAAATTAATAAGGTCACTCAAATTTTACTGAACATGACATCAGCTGAGTTAACTGAGCTCAAATCGGTCAAAGTAGGGTAATACATATACTGATTTCAAACAGCTAAGACAATTCAAACGACTGCAATATGCCAATCAAGCTATATTGGCACATTTTTGTTAGAATATCTATATAATCTTAGGGAAGGAAACAATGCATAATAAAGTAGGATATATGTACTTTTTTTTTGTAAAGATTTATGTTAATTTTGGGATAATTGTGCTACCTCATTTTTAGGATACTGTCTTGGCTTGTGCTATCAATAACAAACTGTGGAATATGACATAAAGTAAAATTTCCACTGTGTTATACGGGGGTTAGGGTTGTGGGCAAAAGCAGAAGTCGCACAGTGGTTAAAATAAATCTGTTCCATTTATACATGTTAAAGCTGTACGCATATAAAAATAAGTTGCTTAAGAGTTAATGGTGTATAAAAACTAAAAAGGCCCGGGGATTTAAACTATGCCTCACATGTTTGTTTTAATCTATGTACAGATACGTCTTAGATAGGCCCAGAGATCCGGCAAAGTGGAGTGGAATTGCCGATGTTGTGTCAGCATTATCTATTCCAGTTATAGCAAATGGGGATGTCTTTGAGTATGGCGATTTCGAACGCATTAAATCTGCTACAGGTATCTGAAGAATTTTTTCAAGATTTTCACAGATTTTCAGTTATCTGTTAGAATTGTAGGGACTGTTGGGTGAAACAAACTTTTATGACTAGTTTATTTTTACTTCAAGTTCTGTTGCAACCTAATATCTCTCTCCTTGTTAATTAATGAGTTCTTCACAAGTTGCGATAAAAGATCTGAGTAGAAGTGGCTAATATCTCTGTCCTTGAAAGTGAGGAGATGGACCAAAGCTAGCAAATTTAGTTGTTATCCATGTATTGCATATTCCTTGCCCTCTTAGGCCATGATAGATTCCCATCAACTCTGCAGGAATGTTTGGGCACGTCCCTAGAATTAGCCTTCCCAGCAGATGTCTTGGATCAAGTCTCCTGATCGTATTTTTGGTAATCTTTGTATTCCCATCTGACAACACTTGACATTCAATGTTAGATTAAAGGAATGTTAGGCAAGTACACATTTGAATGTCTCATAAAGCCTTAAGTGAAGAAAGTTATCAGTTTTTATTGCATTTGATGAGAATTCATTTTGATATGGACCATTAACTTGTATTAATAATGTATGAGAATTGAACTTCTTGTTCTGATCTTGATATATAGTCTACTAGTAATAAATAGTAATCAGCCAATAAGGAAATATATGCTTATAAGTTAATAATTACAGATATTTACGACACTCCCCCTTAAGATGGTGAAGTGATAATCCCAACTTGCAAGTAAGTTAGTTTGAATCATTTCTTTGAATCAAGAGCTGTTTATACCATGTAAGAATCGAGCTTCTGAATATTATTTGATAATCTGAAAGTGCAAGCTTCAATCTTGATGTATGGGCTAAGCCAAAGAAACGCTAATCAGGAGATAAGGAAATACAACGATATGCTAATCGCTACGAACATTAATTTCCTAATAATTAAAGATACAGTTCTACCCTTAGAGATATCTACATATATACAACAATACATGTGCTTGTTTTTCATCATGAAAGGGACTGGCAACTAATTTTTCTAAATTATTTTTTATTTGACATGGTTTGGCATAAGGTGCCTCATCGGTGATGGCGGCAAGAGGAGCACTTTGGAATCCTTCAATATTTTCACCCGAAGGAGAAGTTTCTTACGAGGTTACACAAAAACAATATATCCGGAAGGTAACAATTTTTCTTTGTTCAATATTAACTACAACAAAATCACACATTATCTTTTATCATGTACCTTGAGATGAATGATAGTCTTACGAGTAGGCGGTTTTTAAACACAGACCGGCTTGTTATTCTATGAGTTTTGTGTTATTTATTTCCAATTTAGACGAGTGAATTTAGTCTCATGATCCTTATTACTAGATGTTTCTGTTTTGTATTTTTGATTTCAGTGCATCTTGTGGGATAATGATATTAGAAGCACCAAACATACCTTAAGAGACATGAAGTCACATTATACCTCCCTAGAAGTCCCTGAATGGAGGGCTGTGATCAAGTCCGAGACCACAGCAGATATAGCGTAAGTCTTAATTATTTAAATTTATTGTCGATGCGTCTGTATCAGATTCTCAACGTTTCATAGTTCTTTTCTCAAAAATAAAAGTTCGTCAATAGTAATGAAGCTTATAACCATGTTCACATTACATTAGATTTGATAACATGTACTATGCGCCTGTTGATGTTTCAGGGAACTCTACGGTGAGCTAGAATACTACCAATTAATTAAATCAGATTCCCACAAAGGGCATAGATAATGTTGTTTTGTAGCATAAAATTTCATGAGGAGGATATGTTTTTGCACTTCTCAAGTCAAGAAACTCCCACACTACCCAAATTTTCAGGACTCTAGAATTTGAGAGCAACCTACATGTTTTTGATGGAGGGAGCTAGCTAGGCAAGCCAACATCTGATAGAGATATTAAACTGTAATTTTATTTTTATTTTACAGAATCGCAATATATATTTATTTTTTTATAGAAAATTGCCACATGATCAAAAATATATTTGAATGATTCAGCATTCAACCTCATTTTTTAAGTATGAAAAACTCTTTATTTTATTTTTAAAGTTGGTATGATCTGTTGTGGATTATTTGCTTAGTTGTGTTTCTCGAATTAAAATTGTGGAGACTTTATTTGGTATAAAATTTGTGGGTTGCCAATACAAATTGATTAATATTACAAAACTATTAGTTGAATGAATGCATTATTAAGAAACTAATTAATATTTATTGAAAAATATTTTGTGAATGGGTAGTATTTTATATTATGTTTTTATTTTTATTGTAAAAAAAAAGGATATATTATGAGTTTGTTCAAAATATCTCTTCTTAAAACTAATAACTTGTATAATTTTGCATCAAAATAATCAATGCAACTAATGTGACACTCAGCATCCTGAAAAACCATGTAGTTGTAGAGAAGTAAATGACACAGAATAAGTTTGAGTAAAGGTTGTTTATTATATGTTAAAAAGCATTTATTGTAGATTTAAGAATCTCACTGCCACATAACAATGCACTTATGAGGTCATAATTTTGGAAACACCCATTCTGCTATCTGAAAACTGCAACACTTCCTTGTACCTTCAGCAAAATGTTTCATATAATCTTGGGCTCGCCGTAAATGACACTTCAACTATTTCAATGCTTCATTCCACCAACTCCTTTTGCACTACTACCATATGAGTATCTCTTTGTAACAACTTGGTAATGGGTAGAGGCTTCCTCTCATATACCAACTAAAATAGTGTGCATTTGGTTGATGCATGGAATGTCGTTGTACTTGCGAAAAGTACAATAAAGAATGACAACTCTTTTATGTGATAGAGAAGTCCCTAAATCCTGTTGTCAAGACCTTTTTGGGCGACTAAGAGAACTTCTGGTGACTAAGACCATTTCATGCGCTTGCTCAGCCTTCCTCCACTTAGTTTGCCGGTTGTTGTATCACAGACTATTCATTTTAGACTCAATAAAATTATTTTAGTCCACAGTCACTCAAGCACGAGGTCTTCGCACAAGGTCTTGGAAAGAGTGAAGTGATTTAATTCAGATAAAAAATAATTTATTTTGAAGAGAGACTTAGATAGTCGAGTCCCTCCCGCAAGATTTGAATAGTTGAGTCTCTCAAACGTTTTTTTGGAGAGAGTTCCTCAGCCGTTAATTAGAGATTCCCACAACGAGGATCCTTTAGTGGCGGTCCCTTGACGATATGCCTCGTAGGGGACAAAGATTCTTTAGTGAAGGTCTAATGTATAATTTCCTCGTACGACAACACTGACTCTTTCGTCAAGGTCCAACGTATAATTGCCTTGTAGGAAGGTAAGAGTCTTTTAGTGAAGGTCTAACATATAATTGCTTCGTAGAGTAATAAGGATCCTTTAGTGAAGATCCATTGTATAATTGTCTTGTAGGAAAAGAGATCCTTCAATGAAGGTCTAGCGTATAATTGTCTCGTCAAACAACAAAAATTCTCTAATGAAGGTCCAACATATAATTGTCTCATAGAACGACAAAAATCTTTTAATAAATATCCAATATATAATTGTCTCGTAGGACTACAAAGATCCTTCAATGAAAATTTATTATATAATTGTCACGGACAACAATGATCTTTCAATAAAAGTGTAAGATATAATTGTTTTGTTGGATATCAAAAATCCTTCGATGAAGATTGAGCGTATAATTATCTCCTAGAAAATGACGATGTTTCTAAATTTTTACGTTTGATTCTTTGATAAGTTAATTTGACCTCTTATATTCTTTGTCGGTGATCCGACGAAGCTAATATAATTTTAATAGTAACTCATCAAACCCCTATAATGAGATATATAACGCTTCAATTTAAACCTAGTTCATAATTGAATTTAGATTCCCTAAGGGTAAAAAATTGATACTACATTTTAATAGATTTCATATAGCTACATCTCAAGATTAGTGTTAGGAAATATAGCATCATGGAAGAAAGAGGGAAATATTATATTGAACTAAAAGTGAAATGTTACAAAATGAGAAACATAGTGAAAAACATTACATTAAAATCTTTTATATAGCTCACCAATTAGTAACCAACTTAGTACTAATCTATAATCTATATCTCCTATATTTCTAATAACTTAACAAGTGATTAAAATTGTGAGGACACCATTTTCTGATTTTAAATACGAAAAAAAAGAGTTAAATGCACTAATACTATATTTAAGTAAGTGTTTAGAATAAAAAACGTCTATTTCAATGTCATTTTGCCGTGAATTTAGAAGGTAGAAATTCTAGCTTTAACTAAATGCACGCATGTGACATTTTCTACCGTAAACATACTCTAAATTCAGTGTTTTTTTGGGCAAACTCAACACAATGGTGAATGCATTTTGCAAAAATAGGTCTATGGATGAAATTTAATACTTCCATGGAAACTAACTAACAACATTTCCGGTGGATAATGTGTGGAAATTTTCTATTCTAATCCCTTAAGCTTAGGGATAATAGCTTTAAAATCCACATCATGAAAACCTACTACTTTATTCCATACTCATTCTAATTTATTTCATTACTCTGTACGTTCTCTCTTCATGCTACAACCTCTCATTAATCACACACATACATATATCTACTATGTTGTTGCATAGATACTTCTGATCAAAGTCGTGTCGATGTATCTGTATAGTACTTTATAGGTTATAGTTATGTAACACATGAATGCATGCATTGTCACAATTTTATGTAAATGTGTTGATGTGTCTTGGTAATGGCAGATAATTGCAAGATGTCGCCGACCAAAGACAAAGCTACAATGGAAAATAGTGACGACGAGGGAAGTATTCAAACGGTTAAGGCTAACACTATTGATGAGCTTCATTCGTTACAAAGGAAGAAAAATGTTACTCCCAACAAATCTCAGGAAGATTTAAATACTTATTCTGGAGAAGAGCGTCACAAACAACAACTTGAATCTATTAGGTATGTTTTTCTTTGTTGATTATGTTATAATAAATTGTTACATGATTTAAGCATTTCATTTTCATAATTATATCATAAACTCATTTCTTAATTAATCACCTCAAAAAATGGAAACAAAAAATTGATTAAATAAGAGTTATGTTTATTCTGTTATGGTTATGATTATTAGAAAAGTATAGGATAAATAATTTGAAATACCTATTTGATGAAACAGTGCATCTCTAGCTTCATTGACAAGAGAAACTGGACCCAAGGTGGTGAAGGGAGATCCATCTGTGAGATCAGAAACAGGAAGGGTTGCTCATGTGCCTCACCAACGTATCACACCAACCATTGCTGTCAGTGACAGTGCTCTCAAGTTTACTCATGTTCTCTATAATCTCTCCCCAGCAGGTTCTCTTTTCACTAAATTTTCAACTTTTCATAAAATTAAATGTACTAGTTCTCTATAATATCAAAAAAACTATAACTTAATATGGAAGAATGGTGCAGAACTTTACGAGCAAGCAATAAAGCACGAGAAAGGATCGTTCATAACTTCAACCGGAGCCTTGGCCACGCTTTCAGGGGCCAAGACTGGTCGGTGTCCTAAAGATAAGCGCGTGGTGAAGGAGGACCTCACTGAGAATGACCTTTGGTGGGGAAAGTAAGCATCATTTTCACTTCAAGACTAGTTTGAAATTCGGTTAAGTGACTACTGTGAGCATAATTTTATCTAAAACGATTATATTTTGAAGGGGTTCTCCGAACATTGAGATGGACGAGCACAGTTTCATGGTGAATAGAGAAAGAGCTGTTGATTACTTGAACTCTTTGGATAAGGTCACATTTCTTACTTATGGACTAAAAATGTAACTGAGATTGAATATGAAAATCGAGAGAATTCTAATGTAATCGAATTTGCAGGTTTTCGTGAATGATCAATTCTTGAACTGGGATCCAAAGAACAGAATCAAAGTTAGGATTGTATCCGCTAGAGCTTATCATTCACTTTTTATGCACAACATGTAAGTTATAACTTATTCCAAATGATGTATGTTATTTGCGGCCGCGAACTTTAATAGGCCAATGTAGCCAAAGTTGTAGTTGTAGAGATCTCTCCAATGCGGACTGAAATTTTACCGGGTGTGTGGACTGGCAGGTGCATTCGACCGACTCCTAAAGAGCTTGAGGATTTTGGAACACCGGATTTCACTATTTACAACGCAGGACAGTTTCCGTGTAATCGTTATACACATTACATGACATCTTCAACGAGCGTTGATATTAGTCTTGCGAGGAAAGAAATGGTGATTCTCGGAACACAATATGCTGGTGAAATGAAAAAGGGTCTTTTTAGTCTCATGCATTATCTCATGCCTAAGCGCCATATCCTCTCACTGCACTCCGGTTGCAATATGGGCAAAGATGGCGATGTTGCTCTCTTCTTTGGACTTTCAGGTATGTATATATCCCTTCTACGGTCGCAATTGTGGTTGCAGACTCCAGTTTAAAACCATATTTCAAATAACGCTTGTCTGACACACGTTACATTTCATGTCACACTAATAAATAACACATTGTTGATAACCCTTAAAAACATTATCGTAATCTATACTAGGTACTGGAAAAACCACTCTTTCAACGGATCACAATAGGTATTTAATCGGAGATGATGAGCATTGTTGGAGTGAGGATGGTGTCTCAAACATTGAAGGTGGTTGCTATGCAAAGTGCATTGATCTCTCTAGGGAGAAAGAACCTGATATCTGGAATGCAATCAAGTTTGGTACAGGTATTAATTTGAAGCTACTTTAATAT